CGTGAATTCTCAAAAAATCATGTCCTTGATAATTTCAATACATGATTGCCTATCTAATATAAAGGACATATGAAAAAAGTATAAAACGTCTCTTTTGTTTTCGTCCATTATAGTTTCTTTTTGCTTATTACCTTATGATCATAATGCATTTATTTCGACACTGTTTCTTACTCATAATCAGTCGAAATTAATTGTTTTTACTATTATAATATAAAATGTATTAAATAATATCTAGACGTATATAAATAATATTTACGTACACTTTTTTTATTATTCTATTCTATTCTATTCTATTCTATTCTATTCTATTCTATTCTATTCTATTCTATTCTATTCTATTCTATTCTATTATTATTATTATTATTATTATTATTATTATTATTATTATTATTATTATTATTATTATTATTATTATTATTATCATCAGTATTAGTAATAGTAGCATATTATTATTAGTAGTAATAATCGAAGTCGTATAGAATGGATTAGTCCTACAGGGACAACCAAAGTAAGAAAAAAAATGCTGAGAATTCTACTTCATAAATAGTATGGAAATGAACTCGTGTTTTGATATATGTTTCGATTATATTTATTATTTTTTATACATTTATCGTAAAATAAATGCATACCGACGTCATATCTAACACGAATCATTGTGTGACGCATGCTACCATCAAAGAAAGATATATTTATGAGAGATTAAAAGTGTGAGTGCACAGTATAGTAATACTACTTATTCTACGAAACTAATTGTTATGTATGCATAGGAGGGGAATATCAACAAGCTTATATACTGATATGATAGACGTATGATGGGGACAGCGTTTCCCGCTTGTATTAGTTACACATGCTTTGAACAAAATGTAGTGAATATGATTACATTTAAGATGCTTTGTCATCATCGCCATTTGCAATTGTTATTTGCAATTAACCCATTTGCATCAAAGCGCGAATATATCCGCGAGCTGCTACTGTCTTTTATCATCGAGCACGTCTATATTTGCAAGCCCGCGATTGCTTTTCATTATCAATTACCGAATATTCTTCAGATGCCACAGATCGCGTCTGATCTCTTCAGTTCATTGTATTCTAAACAAGTTTTATTTTTGTTGTGTAAATCTTTCAAACTGTCATTATGAGTAAGTGTTTTCAATCTATATTTAAATATCATCTATCAATGATTCGATAACGCGATATACTGGCAGGCATTTTCCTATACGGATACCTACAACTCTAGCAAAAGGAAAAAGAACATCAAAGCGATGCGTTGTATGCTTATCTAAGTCTTTGCGAAGAGAAACGATTTATAAATGCTATGTTTGCGATGTACCATTATGTATTGATCACTTTAAGGAATTTCACGAAAAATAAATTTTTTATTTTATCTATAAAATAATTTTAATTTTTTCTATTTTAATAAAAAAATATAAAATTCGTTGTTTGCAATGTATCATTATGTGTTGATCACTTTAAGGAATTTTACGAAAAATAAATTTTTTATTTTATCTATAAAATAATATTAATTTTTTCAATTTTAATAAAAAAGAAATATAAAATTCGTTGTTTGCGATGTATCAACTGTTTTAAAAAATATAATTCTGTTGTCATGTACTGCACTTACGATCGACTACGCGCGGTGATACGGGCCGATCATCAATTGAATATTGCTGATTTTTGAATACGGTACATTAAGTAGACGCATGATGCAAATGGGTTAAAACGTGCTACGTTTATAATATTGAGGTGAAATTATTTTATAACCTTTTTTTATGGTTAAAAACGTGAAGAAGAATGAATGTTATGATGAGAATTTAGAGATGAGTGATAGTGAAGATATATTTATATTGAAGTATCAAAAGATTATTTAAGTATATTAATATCCAAAAAAAAAATGTTGATTATGTTTCTGATACTTCAAGTAATGATAGCGAAATTATACCATATGAGTATAATACTGGCAAATATACAAGCATACTGGTCAGTTAGGGACAAAAGTAAAGGATCCCTTTTTTTAGTAAAATATTTACAAAGGAAAGATTGAACCAGATATTTTGGATATTATATTTGAAAAGACCTGATCCTGCAAGAAATGATATTAGAACTTGTATTCAACGAGCAAATAATTTTTTGAAATATGTAAATTTAAAATTTTCCAGACATTTTGACCTTGAGAAAATATGTGCGTTGATGAATCTATAGTAAAAATTTACAAGAAAAATAAGTTTTATTACATACAATCCCAATAAATCTACCAAGTAGGGTATTCGAATACGTTAGTAGGGTATTCGAAAACGTTTTATGGAAGTATCACATCCGAACATTTTTCAAGACCAGATTTAATATTCATCACCAAAATTGTTCTGCGTCTTATTAACAATTATTAGATTATGTACTTACCGTAAAAGGATAAGTATTACACCTATTCTTAACTAAAGTGTATTCTTAACTGAAGAATTAACGCTAGAACAATCGACGATTGACGTATATCTACTTCCACTGGAAGGGTCAAAATGACTTGTTTTTTAAATTTTATGAACGAAAATTGAATATAAATTGAATAATAATAGTAAGATAATAACATTAATAATTTTAGAAATAATTAAATATAAAATTCAAAGATATTTTTTACAAGTTACAATTATTTTAGCAGAGCTTGTACCACAGACTCGTTTATTACATCTACCACAAATATTCTTCATTTTATTATTAGTATAATATGCTATTTGACACTGTTTAGATTTCATCGAAATACGTATGTCGTTTTGTGATATTTCTTCTATATATATATATGAAGATATTTCTTCTAATTCTAATCGAGGATCGTCCTGTTAAATCTTTGTAATCATCTGTAAGTTCTTTGGTTAATTGAAATAAGATGTCTTTTCTTGAAATATTTTCTCCTATTGTTTCTTTGTATAATATCTAGGCATTTATACCGGCAATTTAATATTTTCTGGCCATTTGATTTGTCATATCTACGTATATGATAACAAATTTGATGTTATAAAATGTCACAATTTCAGGCAAACATTTACCATCTTTTTTAATTTTAAAAGATTTATGTACCGAATTCAATGACAATACTTTTTTATTTGATTTACTCTTGTATATAGTAAGAGAGCAATTTTATGTTTTATAAAGAATTGTCGAAAAGCGAGGTATATTATACTTTTTTGATTTTTCAAATTTAGGTAATTCTTTCCTATTTTGTTTAATGGTTCCAATTAAAGAAGTTCTTTTAGTTGTCAGTTTTTGTTTCAAATGACAAACTTGTAAAGAAATTACCTATTGTCACTGTTTTCCTGCAACCAATATGTGATTCCATAAGTTTTAGGACGATAAATTCACCCAAAGATACTGATAATCTTATTTCATCTTTTCCTAAGTAGGGAAATGCATTTACAACATATTTACTTTTTACATTCGACGCCAATTAGAATTTTATACCAAACTTATTTGGCTTGTTTGGCATATACTGCGTAAATCGATATCTAGCTTTGATCGAAAATAATTATTCATCAATTGTAATGGCAGTTCCTGGTTTATAATACATTTGGCTATTTTCAGCAAATTTATTCCATACTTCTGAAAGTAATGTAAATTTATCTATTTGCAATCGTTAGCTTCTTTCAGTTTTCTTCAGAATTTCGGCGAATTTATTTCTGCTCATTGTTTTGGAGAAAAATTCAGATCCTTATCTTTTGGATCATAAATATGAAAGTCTTAGGTCCTTTGCTTTGTATGCCCCACTGGCATATAAAATTGCTATAAATTCATTCAACTCTGATAACAATAGAATTCAGTCGTTATATAAAATCTGACGGGTTTCTACTTTGGTGCAAGTTTTTATATGTCTCATAACTGCAAAGTGCAAAGTATCAAAGAAAATGCTGTTCTCACATTATCTTTCATGATATGTCGTTTTGCATATGCCGTTGGTGTTGACACTTTTTTTGAAAATGTGCAAAAGAAAAAAAAATCACACGTTTATCTACGTTCCGTGGGTGTTTCAAATGACTCATTTTGATATATATATATATATATATATATATATATATATATATATATATATATATATAGGTATACTATATAAAATTTTACAATAAAAGGGCAAGAAAAAAGAAAACTGTTTTACAGAATTAATTATTTACATATTTTAGAAAAAATCATACAAAATGTATTGAAAATGAGTAATGATAATAAATAAGAAATGCCAAACAAGTCATTTTTACTTTCCTTGGTTGTTTTAGCATTAAGAAAAATGAAGTGTCACTTGACTATAAGAACAAACATAAAAGGTATTCCAAGAACTCTGAAGAAACCAAAATTTCATAAAAAAAGGACTGTCGCATAAAAAAAAGAGAAATACAATGTTCTCAGCTTGGAGGCATAAGAAAATAGTTTAATTATTGAGCAACTGGCATAATGCAGGAATGATGACCAATTAAAGATTTATACGAAGAAGTACAAGAAGAAGTAATCGAAAAGCCAAATGTAGTTGGATACACAAAGTCGATTGATTTTGGTGGGTGGTGTTGAACGGCTGATCAATATGCTTCCAGTTATTGCTTTTCGAGGAAAACACTAAAGTGGTGGAATTTTTTGGTGCTGAATTTGATGAATTTAAAATGTATATTTTTTTTACTAGAGGAAAATGCATATTTATATAATAAATAAAATCAAATACGTACATTTACAAGTACGTGTAATTTTTTCCACTCAAAATAAGACTACTTTTTCTCAGACGTTTCTATGCAAAAATGTGTTGGAGTTGCTAGTAGGCAGTAATAGAGAAACGCGCAGATAACAAGAGGATGTGTGTGTGTGTGTGTGTGTGTGTGTGTAATAAATATTATTCTAATTGTTCCCTCAATCTAATTTAAATCTCTTAAGAATTTTAAGTTAAGTAAGATGACAAAGAAAAATGGCCGCCTTCTAATTTCAATTCATATTGAAAATTTTTATTAAAGATCATTTATTTGAATTTCACGATTTTTCAGGTGTCGATCCTAGGCTACTGTTGGGTGGCACTGGAATCGGAGGTGATCGTAACACGTGGGAGGGTCGTTATCATGTAAAGGAACATCGCCGTGCTGGAAAAGCAACCTTCCAGGGTCAAGTTTACAACTTTTTGGAACGTCCCACCGGCTGGAAGTGCTTCCTGTATCACTTCTCTGTGTAAGTACTATACCTAATATCTTTAATAATTCTCCTATGTACCCGTCTTTCATGGAAAATTTATCACAATGCTGGCCATATAAGTCGCCATTATTATTAATACACATTTTACGAGAACGCCTGATGCTAAAGGAAAAAGCAAAAAAATATGAAGAAAGTGTAACATGATTGTTCTGAGACATGACATATATATTGGGTGAATCATTTAAAACCGAAAATATAAATATCTTGATTTCTTTTGATGATAGACGAAGATTCTTTTTTTCTTTTTTTTTTTTGGGAGGAAAAAATATGCTCGATTCAAAAGTGGCTGATACAATGAGAAGGGAGGGTTTAAAGAATTAAATCCGAAGATCATATTTTTCGAAATACAAGAAATATCATCGATGTTATTATTTACGAAGGAACTTGATATTTCTTTCCTTATAGAAAATTGTTAAAGTATTTTTTCAAGGCAAATTCAAAACGTTCTATATTTGTTCTATTGCGATTATTGCATGTTAATGTATCTATTGTATTTCAAAGTTTAATCGATGCAACAGATACTATTTACAGGAATTTGTTGTTATCATAAACAATAACCAAGATACTCATATTAAGTTTGAACATTATCACCCGATATAATTATGAATGACATTATCTAAAGTGATATGTCATGTTACGAGTTAAAAAAAAAAATATTATTCGATTATTCGAATGACAGAGTTATTTTTTCTTAATAACTTTATTTTTGCGACGTCTTCGCCGATTGGTTTCTTTGCGTAACAATAAATGCGGCCGATGTATTTGGTCGATATAATCGTTGGAAATTGAGATTTCTATAAATACAATCTAAGCCTCGACTCCAATCTACGGAAAAGGAATTTCGTCGTATCTTATGAATTATTGCGACGACTACGAAGGTCTGCTGCTGCTGCCTCGGGAAACTGCCTTCGCTCGTGTTTAATGCAACGTTGCTTCATCATCTTCTTCAATTATCGATTAACGTGAGGAATCATTTATCCGCGATACGTGGCGATCACGATTTTCGATAGTATCATGTTAGAATCATACATTGTAATTTCCATCGAACTCATCTCTCTCAAAATTCCATTTTATAATAAAGTTTTTTTTTTTCTATCTTTCAACATCGTCTCATCGATCATCAATTTATTACTGTCACTTGTTATACATATACACGCGCATAAACACACACACACACACACACACATGTATATGTATATACATTCGACAGTAATAAAATCGATGGTAATGTTTGAAAATGTATTCGTTCATTATCGTTGAATTTACTTGATCTTTGAGTAGTAATTTAAATCTCTTTAGAGAAATTAAATTGTTTTTACAAGACAACGAGTGTGTTTTCGTTTGGCGCGTAAATATTTATATATGCGTATCTTCGTATTAGTTATATTCTTAAATTACGTTCATCCGTCCTTTGATATTTTAAAAACGTCATGCGAAATATCTAGAATTGTCTTTCTCTTGCTTCTTATCAGAGTCAATTTAACTTTCCAATTTAACTTTGTCCCGTTTTATCGCGTTCTTTAGAGACAATAGTTGATAGATTATATGAATAACCAACCAAGTGGGTACAGGGAAATACAGAATTCTTGTTCTTTACCGAAAGGATATATTTTGTAATAAAGTTAAAGTACCTTAGAGTTTAAACGAACATATGTACAAAGCGAAAAGTTGAAGTATACTTTTCGAATCGATTATATCATGTATACACGTGGGTGTCCGCGTGTTATGTCGTAGAATCTCATTGTCGCGAAGTGCTTTTTCCGACTACGTGACTGAAATTTCTACGGATAGATGGCAGTCTATATACAGGTAACTACCAGTTGGTCTGATCAATATCCAACTTGTACCACTTATCGAGCGTACGTACAGGAATCTGCTATTATTGAATGCATGTGTGACCCGATTAAAGCCGCGCATTTTAAAGGAATCATCAATTTAATCTTTTCGATCTAACTATGTATCTGTATAGATTAAATTTATCAAAATTTGTTAAAACGAAATGAAATAAAATAATAATAATAAAAGAAAAATAAAAAAAAAAAGAGGAAAATAAATAAGTCTAACAAGTATCAGGTCAATTGAATTAAAAAATTTACATTAAATGTTGTGTGTACATTTTTTTCGAAGTTATTGAAATATATTATTCGAAGGATGATTGGTTTTATTTTAAATAAATATAGAATGAAATGATGGTTCGGCGAGAAGTGGGGAGGGGGAGGCGGACACTTAACCCGAAGGCAAAAGCCGACATTATGGAAACGTTCATTCGTCGGCTGGGTCGCAAATAAATTTAACATTACTAGCGCTCATAACCTTCCGCGGTTAGTTTTATGTAGATATATATACATACATATATATATATATATATATATATGTATATATATATGTATATATGTACATATATATATATGTATACATACATATGTATGTATATATGCATGTATGTATAATGTACACAGGTATATTGTATATGGGTCATGAGCAAAAAGAATTTACTGTTTTATTCATATCGAGGGGCGCATATTGGTTCGTGTTCGGTATGGATATTTTAACCGCAACACGTGCCGTTCCTTTTCGGACCAAATCGACGTTATCCATCTAGGCTCTCATCTTCATTACTTGTATTATTGTTTCTCAGTAGCGTCTGGCATAGAGTTATGTTGTTGTTTTCAAACCAACAGTGGTTTACTCTCGAAAGATTGAAGTAGAATAAGAAGAAGAAGAAAGAAAATGATGAATATCGAAACACGTATTCTTTCTCTCTCTTTTTTTTTCTCTTTATTTTTTTCTCTCTCTCTCTCTCTCTCTCTTTCTCTCTCTATCTCTCTATCTATCTATCTCTTTCTCCTTTTTTCTATTTTTTCTATCTCAATGAAATTACATACTCGATCCTAAGAACTATGTAATTCTCGTAACACAAAGTTCAATTCTTAGAAAGATGCATGTTATATACAGGAGTTATATATAATTAGTTATATATAATATATGCAGGAGAAGAATGATTTTACGAATTTCTCGAAGCAACGTATAGGGTCCGGGTCACCCTTTCCCCCTCACCCTTCTTTTTTAATGTAAAATTTCGAGGAAACCCTTTGATTATCCGCCGATCAAACTGTTTCTCACGCGAAGCGTTTGCCCGCGGAACTCTGCTTCCGGTTGGGAGAATTCCTATAGCCTACTTTGTTGATACACATACACATGTACATAGACACGCGCGTACGCTCGCGAGCGTGCGCGTTGATATGTATCAACACGTAACTTAACACACGTGAAAAATATGTATGCACGTAACACGTGCCCGTATATGTTTTCTTCATTTGTAAGGGCACGGCATGATCTAATTTAAATAATTTGAATAACTTTGCACGCCATCCAACAGCCCTGATAGAACAACTCTCAACTTCTTTGACAACTAGATAAGGATCGGAACGAAAGTTGGCGGAGATGATGAGTTACTATCAACGATCACATGTTTTTAAAGTTCAAGGAGAGAGAGAGAGAGAGAGAGAGAGAGAGAGAGAGAGAGAGAGAGAGAGAGAGAGAGAGAAAGAAAATATACGAAAACAATGAAAAGAAAGAGAGCATTGATTGAAACGTTTTATATAAAGAAAAAATATACAATAAATATAAACAAACATTGTATATAACAATAATAATAAACAATAGTAAATAATAATGTTATCATTGAAAAGTATAGAAATAATGAACGTTTTAGAAAGATGTAAAAAAGTCAACGATGGATAGAATGAGAAAAAGTATATGTATGGAAGTATGGATGGATGCATGGATGGATGGTTGGATGAATGGATGGTTAGTTGGATGGTTGGATAGAGTAGGCACTTTGCAACGACTGATATCGATTTTCTCACTTTTTTAATGCCACATATGAATATGAACTGTACTTCAGTGTTTCTTCCTTTGCCTTCCTTACTCCGTGCACATAATTTTTTTTCTTTTTCTTCTATTTTTTTTTTCTTTTTTTTTTTTTTTCTTTTTCTTTATATATGTATTGTACTCTATCTAGGCTCTGTAACCTACTTCTTTTTAAAGCGACGCGCAGGGCTAAAGAGCGAAAGAAAAAGAAAGAGAGAGAGAGAGAGAAAGAGAGAGAGAGAGAGAGAGAGAACCCTAGCGTAAAACTGCTATGTTGTCCCTTGAATAAGTCGCGAGAATTTATTCAGTGGAAAAAGAAAGTCAGAGACAGAAAGAGAGAGAGAGAGAGAGAGAGAGAGAGAGAAAGAGGAGGAGGGCCGATAGTTGTGCTTTTCCTCACGTCAAACCTCATTTAGTTCGACGACCGACGATTCGCTATAAATGAATTTCGTTTTATATTACGGAAAATGCTTTCGCTCTCTTATCCATAGTTTGCTTTTCTTTCTTTTTTTTCTGCTCCATCTTGCATTAGTATACATGACGAGAGAGAGATAGAGAGGGAGAGAGAGAGAGAAAGATTCAGAAAAATATAAGCTTTGAAAAACGTTTTCACCTGAGTCAGAGCATATATATTTGTAAGTGTCCATATAATGTATTATAGTGTAATGTTTGTCCATGTGCTAATCTCTTCTTGTGCGAGTGTTTGTCGAAGAAGAACTGAAAACTGCCAGCAGGCAAATTCCCTTTCTTCTTTCTTTTTTTATCCTCTTTTTTCTTTTTTCTTTTTTTTTTCTTTTTTTTTTCCTTTTATTTATTCCCTCATACGTTCCAAATTCAAATGCAAATAAACGCGTAATTCATATAATTAACTCGCGAGAAACAGATTTAATTAAGTAATTAATCCACAACACTTTGAATTCTACTTACTTTTCCCCGTCTTTCTTTCCCTCTTCTTCCATCCTTTCTTTTCTCATCCCCTTATTTCTATTTTCTCTTGTCGTTTTTATGTATATTTCCACCCCGATACCGATGGAATAATGAAATAATAAAATCGTAACTCGGATCCTTTTATTTTTATTTTATTTTTCTTTTTTTTTTTTCGTTTTT